GGGAGGTCCCCCCCCCTCCTCGCCCCCCACTGCCCCCCTTCATCCGTGTTGTGTCATCATAACGAATTCTTGGATTTACAAAAGGACCGTGGTCAGTCATTACTCTTGGTGGGAGAATATTTTTCGACCCCGAGGTATTTATTTTGTGGGAGCGCCACTGATGGCTGTCATTGAGATCCCTGTTATTGGTGAGATCGCTGTTGTTGTTGAGATCTCTGTTGTTGGTGAGATTCCTGTCACATTTGGCAATCAAGGGGTGTGTACGGGCGGGGTGGGGGGCATTGGTATTTGTGCTTTTGACGCTTTATTTTCCATCATCGTAGTTTACAACCCCTTGTTAATCGACTGCTGGATGAGGCCCTCGTGTTTGACCATACTTCCACCACTGTGGTGAGTGCGGGTTGGTGAAGTCGGTGTGAGGGGACAGGAGGCGGTGTATATTTTTCTCGCCATCAGTGGTTTGTGTTAACCCTCGTCGGGAATCGAACTCAGCCGGGCCAGATTCAGAGTGCGGAGCGCGAACCACCTCTGGATTGTCTAAACAATTCCACCACGTCCCTTGCGCGCCACGGGCGCGTCGTGATTTTATCACTGGTAGAGAAGACACCGTTGGAATCTGGGCTCTACTCTAATTGCTTAATTTCCTTTCCACGTGATCGTTTGTGATTCATTGCTCAGACGCATCAGAGCAACGCGCGCCTTGTGCGTGCCCCCCCCACCCCCGCGCCTACCAGTGTGCCCCTCTCGTCATTCACCACCATCACCACCACCACTACGACCATCGACGTCGTCTCTCGTACCCGCGCAGCGCGGAGCCGCTCAGGTAAGACGCGAGCGAGGTGGTGTTTGAACTTCGCCTGCGGGTCACCGCCAACCTCCCCCCGCCATGACCACCGCCCCCCATCGCCCCCCACCGCCGCCGCCGCTCAAGATGATTCGTCGCTGCGCGATTGGCTTGCCGCGGCCAGGTGACACCGAGGCGCGGCGCTAAACGTGATGTGTCCCTGTGGGATTGGTCTCGCGGTGCGCCACGGACAGGGTCGACACTCCACGGAGTTTTCTCTCCCCCCCCTCTCCCCCCCTCTCTCTCCCCCCCCCCCCTCTCTCTCTCCTCCCCCCCCCCTCTCTCTCCCCCCCCTCTCTCTCTCCCCCCCTCTCTCTCTCTCCCCCCCCCCTCTCTCTCTCCCCCCCTCTCTCTCTCCCCCCTCTCTCTCTCCCCCCCCTCTCCCCCCCTCTCTCCCCCCTCTCTCTCCCCCCTCTCTCTCCCCCCCTCTCTCTCCCCCCCTCTCTTTCTCTCGCCCTCCCTCCCCCCTCTCTCTCCCCCCCCTCTCTCTCTCCCCCCCTCTCCCCCCCCCCCCTCTCTCGCGTGCCCGCGGATTTCGCCTCGAAGCGCATTTTTGACATTTCCATTGACAAGTTACACATCTCACTCGCACTCACAATGACCCACTTTGCAGATTGTTAGCGAGCATCTATTAAGGTCATACGCACGCGCAAAGACGAGCATCTCGCCCACTCTAGCCGTGCAGCCCGACAGATTCTGCCCGTGTGGTTTCGTTGTTTTTCTCGCGGCGTGATGTCCGACGTTTCGCACCACGTGCTGCAGCGAGACGTCGGGCACAGCGCGAAAACACAGCCGAGGGGCAACACGGCGCAGCCGGAAAAACCGGTGAAGTCGCCTCGCCCCGTCGCTTTTACCACCAACTCACACCCAGGTCGTCATCGCCCAGTAAACGTGGAACGTTGTGTTCAACGTTGGCGCAACGTTGGCACGATTATAGGGAGAGCAGCAGGTCTACGTGGCAGACTGCGGGGGGCAATGCAGCAACATCCATTGTTGGTATACACTTCTATGGCGCCTCGTGGATGCTCCCTGCCTTTACCAATCCGCGAACTGAACAGCGCGGGTGCTCCAGGAGGGCGCGTGGAAGCGCTCCTCATGCAGCAGTGGATTGACTAGAAAGCTGCACACGTACACATGTGCATGCTGTGGGGTACACACGCTACTGTTTACGTCGATCCTTCGCTATACGTACTATTGTGGTGCTCTGTATATGCTGTGGTGTACAGCATGCTACGGCATGTGCTTCTTCTGTAGCCCTGTGGCTCCAATGAGGGCTCTGTATAGCTGCACAACTCCTTCCACCATGTGTTGCGGTGTGTGTGATGGGGCGGTGGCAGGGAAAGGTTCAGGAGGAGACGCGTCTCATCATCAGGACAAACACGTGGATCGGGCGCGCGTTCACAGGCAGCGGTGAGAGGTCGACAGGGGAGGTTGTGGAAGGACGAGGCCAAGAGACCGAACACAAACATGAGTGAGTGGGAAGGGGTCGTAACAATGATAGAGGATTCATCTTCTTGGTTCTTTCGGTAAAGTCACGTAGAAGGGAAAGAATAAAATAATTAAAATTAAACATAATAAAATACAATTCTCACGACGTTTCGGCCACAACGCAAGCAGCCGTCCTCAGGTGAAGAACAGGGCTGTCGGAAAGACAGCGTCTGAATGAACACCACCAAACTTGGTTCATTCATATTTTATTATTTCCCTTCTACGTGACTTTACCGAAAGAACCAAGAAGATGAATCCCTGCAGCCACGAAAGCTTTAAATCAAAATTTAATGATAGAGGATGTAGAGGCAGGCTATGTTTGGGGTTACATCCTACAATTATTCATAGAATGTGATAAATTATTATGATATGATAATGTTTAAGATGTGCTGGGCTACTCTCAGGATATATTTTCAGCCGCTCCGCTCCCGTTCCGTGAGATTAAAGGGGCCCAGGAATATATTCTATCAGTAATAATGTCCTGGCTACTATGCCATGCTAGTGCACGCGCTCTGCTGGGTCACTATACCATGCTAGTGCACGCGCTCTGCTGGGTCTCTATGCCATGCTAGTGCACGCGCTCTGCTGGGTCTCTATACCATGCTAGTGCACGCGCTCTGCTGGGTCACTATACCATGCTAGTGCACGCGCTCTGCTGAGTCTCTATACCATGCTAGTGCACGCGCTCTGCTGGGTCACTATACCATGCTAGTGCACGCGCTCTGCTGGGTCTCTATGCCATGCTAGTGCACGCGCTCTGCTGAGTCACTATACCATGCTAGTGCACGCGCTCTGCTGAGTCTCTATACCATGCTAGTGCACGCGCTCTGCTGGGTCTCTATACCATGCTAGTGCACGCGCTCTGCTGGGTCTCTATGCCATGCTAGTGCACGCGCTCTGCTGGGTCACTATACCATGCTAGTGCACGCGCTCTGCTGGGTCTCTATACCATGCTAGTGCACGCGCTCTGCTGGGTCTCTATACCATGCTAGTGCACGCGCTCTGCTGGGTCTCTATACCATGCTAGTGCACGCGCTCTGCTGAGTCTCTATACCATGCTAGCGCACGTGCTCTGCTGGGTCTCTATACCATGCTAGTGCACGCGCTCTGCTGGGTCACTATACCATGCTAGTGCACGCGCTCTGCTGGGTCTCTATACCATGCTAGTGCACGCGCTCTGCTGGGTCTCTATACCATGCTAGTGCACGCGCTCTGCTGGGTCTCTATACCATGCTAGTGCACGCGCTCTGCTGAGTCTCTATACCATGCTAGCGCACGTGCTCTGCTGGGTCTCTATACCATGCTAGTGCACGCGCTCTGCTGGGTCACTATACCATGCTAGTGCACGCGCTCTGCTGAGTCTCTATACCATGCTAGTGCACGCGCTCTGCTGGGTCTCTATACCATGCTAGTGCACGCGCTCTGCTGGGTCTCTATACCATGCTAGTGCACGCGCTCTGCTGGGTCTCTATACCATGCTAGTGCACGTGCTCTGCTGGGTCTCTATACCATGCTAGTGCACGCGCTCTGCTGAGTCACTATACCATGCTAGTGTCCGCGCTACGTTGCCTTGTGCTGTGGCAACCCACGTGGGTAGTGGCGGCACAGGTGTTTCGCCTGTGCCTGTGCGAGGACACGTCTCCCTACAGCTACACCAGCACGTCGCGCCGACCCCGGCTTATCCCCATATCCTGGTCGGGGCAATCTGGCGGAATGTGGGGGGCGGTGGGGGGTGAGGTAAGCCCCCCCCCTCTCTCCCCACGTCTCAGGTTGTCTGCGCTTTGCGAGCCGCGAGGTCAATACATTTCTCCTGCAGCCTCGCCCGTCGCACGCACTGATTTCAGAGTAAGGCTGACGTGTACTTCGGCAGAAGCGATAAGCCCGTACTGTGATTTCTGGGTAAACGAGACGCATTCCTTGGCCCCCTCCCTCCCCCCGTAGCCGGAGGGAGGGAGGTGGGGGGAGAACAACGTGTGGGGTGCGGCGCTTCGGGCCTCTTCCACCGCCCCCGCCTCCCACGGGGTCTGGGGCGCGAGGGGCCTCCCAGTGCAGGGGACTTGGTGGCAAGGGTCGGTGGATCACGTCGAGATTTGTCCGAGTATCATTTGCAAACTCGACGGGCTATGGGGTAGTGGCTGTGATGGTGGCAAGTGCACAATGTGGGTCGGTGAAGCCGTCTGGTTCCCGGCCAATGTTATCGCTAATGCGATAACGCTAATGCGATAACATTAGCACGCTTGGCTACGTACGGCGTGAAAGAAGTTCAACATACATATTATACATATCCCCCGTCGTAATGGGGTGTGGGATTTTCCGAAATACCAGATCCCACCTTGACATATATAAGTGGACAAAAGAAATTGGTCAAAACATTCGAACGTAGCAGCAGACCCGGCGAGGCTCTCGTGGGTACCATGGACGCCCACGGAGGAGTTGATGCGGGTCGTGCGACCTCCACTCTCTCGAGGGAACCTCAACCCGTGCCGCTCTCCCGAGGGAACCTCAACCCGTGCCGCTCTCTCGAGGGAACCTCAACCCGTGCCGCGAGCGATGCCGATGTAGACGCCGCCACTGCCGCCGCCGTCGCTTTCACTGATAACAGCGAGAGCGTCGAGTGGTTTTCGTGCCCGTCCCGACACGAAACAAAAGAACGAATGGCGAGGGGGCGGACGAGGGATGCTCGTGAGGTCGTGCGTTTAATTGGGTGTCGGTAAACAGCGGCGCAGAGGACGCATCCGCGCGATCATCCGAGGTCGACGATTGGCAACGCGAACATTTTACATCTGTGCCCGGCGCGCTGTTTGCGACGCACCGACGCCGGCGAGTCGGTTGCTTCGCGACATCCACACCGCGACCCATCGGAACTCTTTCGCTGCGTTCGCGACCGAGCGCCCAGGGAGACGGAGACTGTGGCGGCTCTGGTGGCGAGGCGGCTCGGGGCGACGTACGGGTCAGGAGCGAGCTCCGTCAGCGGCCATCGGATGAGGCGACGTCGTCTGGACCCGCGCGCTCGGTCCGGTGCAAGGACCCCCGTCTCACTGCCCACCGAACACTCTCCGGCAGACACGTCGCGAGCAGCCACGGTCACAGCGAGGTGCATACTGGATGCGGTGTTCCGGGTGCGGAACTATTCTGTGTGGCCAGACCCCTTTTGAAATGAAGCCCCGGTCCAGTTACAAATCCTCGTCTCATTCTGGTCAAAATCACTTCGCCGTTTGTTAAAATCACAATACCCCCCCCCCTTCATTATCCCCCCCACCCCCATCCCCCCCCTCCCCCACAGTCTTCCCCGCCCCCCACCCCCTCGCTGTGTGGAGGTGCCGGGTCCTGGTCGCTCCTCGCTTGGCACTACAGCTCCGTCTTGAGGGGAACCTTCGCTTTCTTCATGGCGTCCACCACTGCGGGAAGCAATGGGAGGGCAGCAGCGTCAGCGGAGACGGCGGACACGTTCAGCCGTCTCGACCCCGGCTCCCGCTCACTCAACACCGACGCACACGGCACCCCCCACGCGCAGATCGCCGTTGTACAGCTGCTACACGATTAGTTGGCGCTGCGGTGGCGGCGAGATGTTATCTCCCTCGCCTGGCACACAGGAGGTCGTGGGTTCGATCCCGACACTGACGATGCCTGCTGTGTATTTGGAGTGTACGGTGTCTCTCTCTCATCATCATCATCACGGTGGCTAGGAGATGTTAACTACCTCGTCTGGTACGCAGGAGGTCGTCGGTACGATCCCGACACTGACGACGCCTGCTGTATAATGGGAGTTTGCGATGTCTCTCTCCCCGTGGTCGCGTGGATTTTTCTCCGGGTCCTCTGGGTTTAGAATATTTCACTACTGCGAAACATTTCCGCGCGAAGAGCCACTTCGTTGGGCTATCATTTGTGGCCAGGTGGCTTCTTAAAAAAGAGCTATACAGCTCAGTGGCCCTTACCTGGTAGAATACAAATAGTGTAGTTTCTTTGACCCATCATCAATAGCCAAATCTCCTAAAACTCATTCGTGTATAGTTGTCCCAAAACTCACTGACATTCATGCAAAATATATGTATTACTCATCGTTGCTAATCGAGCCCGTGTTTACGATGATTTATAACGAACACGTTAATTATTGCATAAGGTTACCCAAGCATCAAGACTCGTATCCTAGACAGACCTTGTAAATGCGCGTGCTCAGCCCTTTTGTCAATAAACTGCGGGATGAGAGCCTCCCCACGCTGGGCGGGTCGTTGAGAGTGGGGGAGGGGGGGGGGCTTATCTGACCATACTTCACCACACCGGTATAGTCAGAGCACATACGCGTGAGCATAGTACAGTCCAACAATTGATTTTGCCGCACGGCCCTCAAGCCTGACCGCCACGAAGCGCCGCGTCTACAGCAGCCCGTGTGTGTTCATGCCCGGCCACGCCACACAACCGTCTAAGCGCACGTCCAGGGCTCAAAGTCCCGCGTAGCTTTAGCTGGCGGGATGTTGATGACGAGATCCGGGAGCATTCCGGGGTGATTCTATCGCAGGGTCAACGCGGAGCTGTGAACCCAGCGCGTGGCTTAACTCGCCGTGGTGGAAAAACCAAAAATCCACGATAGGTGGAAGCGGGGATATGGCGAGGAGAACTGTGCTTGGCGCCACGTGAACAAACAATGGGGAGCGGTGGCGCAGTGGTTCGCGCACTGCGCCACCTGCATTCTGTTGTCGGCCACGGTGAAGATCGAAGGCGATTGATGTGACACGAACAGGTCCTTTAGTTTAGCCGTACAGCTCGTTTTCAGAAGCGACCTGGCCACAAATGATAGCTCAACGAAGTGGCTTATCACGTGGACATTTATAGCAGCCAAATACTCTAAAACGCACGTGGATTCGAAATGTGGAGGGGAGAAATCCACGCGACCACGAGGAGAGAGACACCGCAAACTCCAAATATACAGGCGTCATGGTCAGGATCGAACCCACGATTTCCTGTACACAAGGCGAGGTAGTTAACATCTCGCCACCGTGTGTACACGTGTGCGCGTAAAATATGTGTACACGTGATGCTATACGCTGTGTACACGTGTGAGTAGAGTATAATGTGTGATGGTATAATCTGACGACACGCATGCCGTGGTCGTCTGTGTATAGGTGTGAGTGCAGTTGGGAGCGGTATTGTAGCGGTTAGTGCACTGCGCTACGAACCCGGCGGACCGAGTTCAATTCCCGCTCACGGCCAACATCAGTGACGATTATCTGAACCGGTCATGAGCCTCCTCTCGGTCGACTCAGCCTCAAATAAGTACCTGGTGTTGTGTGTAAACATCATCACTGGGGAGACAAAGGCGGCCGGGCGTGGTGTTGGCCTCGTGTGCCGTGCTGTAAGTGCACGCTAACAGCAATGGCCCCAACAGTGTGTTCGGGCTATACGGGAGAGATCTTTGTCTTTGTACAGCACAGTATGTATACAGGCGTAAGCACAGAGCAAAGTCGCTCCGCCGTGAAGAGTCAAACTCGCTTTGTCGTTAGAAACCGGAGCGCGCTCACTGCTGCTGCGTTGTGAGCCCACCAGGGTTGGGATCTGTCCGGCTCAACCGGTTGGGAGGAACCGGCTGGGCCGACCTGCAGGGTGCGGTCACGGGGAGGGGTGGCGAGCAGTGACAGGCGACGGGAAATTGTGCCGATTCAGCGGAGATAGCCACAGCACCCTGGGCTCGTGAAATATATAAGAATAGGCTTTACCCTCGCCGGAAAAAAAAACAGGAGGTGTTAAGATGTGCAAACACCAAATAGACACATTTGGCAAGGAATCACGGACTGCATTAATCACTCAGTACTTGCGGTGAACATGCAAACGAACATGCTCTGAGAATATATGCACTGCCTTTGAAACGAATTTGCCGACACCAGGTGATGTCATCCCCCCCTGCCTCGTGTCGTTGTTGTGTCCCTAGTTGAAGTCCTCGTGTGTGATAATCGCAACGATACTACGAGCTGCCAGGGGACGATTATTCCATTCTAGGCGACTGTCGTGCGTGTGCATGCGCCTGAGAATAGAATTTTTTGCAATTCATGCAAATCACAGTGATCTACATCTGGCGGTCACGAGTAAGTGCCATTCATCGATCGTATGCAGTGCATAGTTATGCAAAACTAGTATACGTTTGATGAGTTACGGGAAGGAAGGAGATACATCTCACGATACGCAAGATACCTCCTGACTCAAGCATTGGATGGCACTCCACATTCCTCGGGGAGGAGGTCTGCTGATGCCGACTGCGCAAAGAAACACTGCCGTGACCTGGCAGCAGGAAGGAGGTGATGGTGAGCTGTAGTGGCATCTTCGGCATTGGCCGTGGGGATCGATTGCGCAGTGATGATGGTGATGATGAAGAAAACAATCTAAATCGTCTATCCAGGGAAGCCTCGAATGTATGTTGAACTTCTTTCGCACCGTACGTAGCCAACCGACTGATTTTTTGGAAATGAATCATCGCGTTATATGATGGTTCATTTATTGCGGGGTTGGAGGGGGGCATTAAAAGCCAATATTCCGGGCGTCCTGTGCTGCTCGGCACGGAGCCACGTGGCGCCGTGGCAAGGGGCGTGGACGCGGAGTTGCCGTGGAGGTGCGGTGCAGTGCGGTGCGGTGATCACTCACGACGGAACACCTCGTCCGAGTGGTAGGCGTAGAGGCTGTTCCTGTAGCCCGAGCCGATGTCAGCTCGCACCGTCATGGACGGGTCTGCCGACACACGGGACGCAGACAGAGATACGCGTACACGAGTGCAGATTCACGGACGCACTCTTTCGACGTACACACAAAGACACGGATCCCCTGTATAGCCTCGAACGGACTGTTTGGGGCAAGTGCTGTTAGCGAGCACCTATGGAGGCCGGCACGGCTCACGATGGGGTGGGTGGCCAGCACCACGCCCGGCCGCCTTTGTCACACCAGGTACTCATTTGAGGCTGGGTCGACCTAGAGGAGTCGGGGGGCGCCACGGTGGAGAAACGTTTACTACTTCGCCTGATATACAAGAATTCATGAGGAGTCCGACCCCGACCCTGACGCCTGTACATTTAGAGTTAGCATCCTCTCCCTGTGTTCCCGTGGATTATTCTCCGGGTCCTCCGGTTTCCCCCCTCCACATTTAGAATAATAAAATAAACGTTTAGGGCATTTGGGTGCGATACAATTCCACGTGGTAAGCCACTTAGTGGCGCTTTTATTTGTGGTCAGGCTTATGAAAAAGAGCTGTATAGCTCAGTGGGCCTTACCTGGTAAGATAAAACAAATAGTTTAGTTTTAGAATGCCCAGGACTGGTTCACATAATCGTCTGAACCAGTTGGCCGTCAGTGGGAATCGAACACCGGTGGTTAAGTTCGTAGCGCAATGCGCTAATCATCACACTACCACTATAAGTAGACACACACATGTACACGCACACACATGTACACGCACACACACATGTACACGCACACACGTACACGCACACACACACACACATGTACACGCACACACATACATGTACACGCACACACACACACATGTACACGCACACACACACACATGTACACGCACACTCACACATGTACACGCACACACACACATGTACACGCACACACATGTACACGCACACACACATGTACACGCACACACGTACACGCACACACACACATGTACACGCACACACACATGTACATACACACACATGCACACACACACATGTACACACACACATGGGCGCACGTGGAATCCCATTGGGACATCTGGGCGCGCCGCTTACCGACAAACATGATCCTGGGCACGTAGCGACCATCGGGAGCGAGGTTTTGATCCAAGGTCTCGGTCTTAAAGGACATCAAAGCGCTGCGTTAACGGTGCCCTTGTGCCCACACGCGTGTGCAGCACACAACACACACCCACGCGTGTGCACGCACTACACAATACACACACGTGTGCACGCACTACACAACACACACACACACGTGTGCACGCACTACACAACACACACCCACGCGTGTGCACGCACTACACAACACACACACACACGTGTGCAGCACACAACACACACACACGTGTGTGCAGCACACCACACACACACACGTGTGCACGCACTACACAACACACACGCGTAAAGAAGCAGGCGCAACACGGTAATCCTAGAGCGCAATTGGGACCTGGGGATTGATCGTTTCTTCCCATCATTCCTTGCTTGCCACGTGACATCACCACGCGAACTCTGGGTCATCCTCAGCGGCTCTTGGATGGCCATCGAACAAAGACTTTCACCGCATCGCGCGCTTTCAGATGCGTTTCTGCGGCCGTCTGGAACGCTCTTCCTTCCGATGTTAAGAAGCCACTGGAGCTATACACTTTGAAATCTAGAGTGAAAACGCATTTATTGAGAACTGCTTTTCATGTTTAGTTTGTTGTCCTTCGCCCGCACCTCCGATAAGCACGGTTGGCTATGTACGGTGCGAACGAAGTTCAACGTACACACCACGCTGCGTGTATGACGCAGACAGCCTCAATTGTTTTCGACCACCGACTCAAACGAGACAAAGTGCAGCCCTGTTCGTTTAGACAGCAGCAGTCGGAGGAGGAGGAAACAGCTGATTATCAGTTGCATCTTGCTATGAATGCTCGACACACTATAGCCATCATTGTCTCCTACTGCTGTGTACGAAATCAAATAAACCCTGACTCAAACTCACGCCACGGGAGGCTCACTGGATGCGGACAAGCCCAGCCTCCAGGGTTTAGCGCCGGCTATGGGCGGACAATACATCGATTCGAAGACTTTCTTCTGTAAATGAATGGGGAAAACTCATCAGGCAGAAGAGCGCAAAGTCGAGGCTGGAGACAACTAAGCGCTGACGGTAATTGAGACGCGAACTTAGCGGTGACATTGCAAGAGAGAAAGAGGCCCGCGTGCACATAGAGAAGGCGCGCGGTGTCAATGACTACGTCCACAATGTCTGCGACGAGCTCGTGGACTGGGACAGGAGGCGTCGTCGAGGAGGGACGGTGACCGAGGGCCACGGAGCGAGTGGCGGCCAAGACATGGAACGCGTCCGAGACGGAGCGACGAAGATCAGTCAGCGAGTGCGCGCGCCACGCGGATTACAACCGCGTCGCATTCAGCAGTGGATTGACCACGGCTGATGATGATGATGACGACGACGACGAAGCAAACAGCACTTTAAAGATTGATGATGGCTGTTGATTTTCATTCGTACGTAGCCAAGCAAGAGGTGATGATTCGGCAGACACGACCACCGCTCGCATTCAGCCACAGGGCACGGGGTGCCACCCACACGGAGCGCCTCCACGCACACGGAGCGCCTCGACGCACACGGAGCGCCTCCACGCACACGGAGCGCCTCGACGCACACGGAGCGCCTCCACGCACACGGAGCGCCTCCACGCACACGGAGCGCCTCCACAGGGCACACGACTCCCACCCAATTCCCCCTGCGCCGCACCTGCAGGTTGACGCTCACGAAGTCCTCTGCTGCCATCTTCTGAACCTCGCCGTGGTTCTTGAAGGCCTCGCGGAGGGCTGGGGACCCGTGCGTGTAAAAAAAGACAAAGGAAAAAATTAACCGTGTAGCCTTCACAGACTGTCGGGGCAAGTGCTGTTAGCGAGCACCCACGACGGCCGGCACGGACGCACGAGGGGGTGGGTGGCCAGCACCACGCCCGGCCGCCTTTGTTTCCCCAGTGGCGATGTTTACACATCGCACCAGGTACCCATGTGATGCTGAGTCGACCTAGGGGAGGCTCAGGACCGTTTCAGATCATCGTCATCGGTGTTGGCCGTGGGAGGGAATCTAAATTAGGATCGCCGGGTTCTGAGCGCAGCGCGCTAACCGCAGCACAACCGCGTGTAAAGACAACAACAATAACAGCTGCCGTACGCCACTAGGTGGCGCTTGTGCCAGGATAAGTGCTTTTTAAGGCCACGTGAAGTGTCGAACGCCCGCTGGCAAAAGGTCACGGGACAAACCCAGGTGGGTTGACTGACTGAGATGACTGGCCAATGTGTAAAGACGCACACGCAAGCGAAGATCAGACGTGTACGCCCGATGCACACTCTTGGGGGTCTTAGCGAGCACCAGCCAAAGCCGGCACGGTGCAAGACGGGGTGGTGGGTGGCCAACACCACGCCCGGCCACCTTTGTATCTCCCGTTCTGATGTTGACACAAAGTACTGAGCGCTGATCTTAGATCTGCATCTTGGATTGAATCCCCATCCCGAATTGTCACATTTTACAGTATCTGGTGTGGGTCGGTCAAAATGGCAAGGCGTAACGATGCATCGAACTCATCGATTCATATCGATTACTTTCGCTTACGATACGCACATCAATTCGCTTTGCAAGAATCTCTTGATCTTTCGCTTCGTACAAGTCGTGATGGAACCACCAGCCCGTAGATTTCGCTCGATTCCTAAATGCACAGCATCTCTTTGCACAAAGCCAGCTCGTAAGTCGAGCCATCGGTAACCAACTCGCCCAGGGGTTTCATTTCAAACAGTTCGGTGCATAGAATATTTCCTGCACCCGGTACACCACATCCAGTATACACGTGGCTTTGGCTGTCGCTATACTAGTCACGTTATTAGTCCTTCGATCTCCCAGCGAACCGCGCACAAAACAATTCTGTGAGAAAATCAATGCCTGAGTACTTTACCTATGCAGTAGGGGCACGCTTCGGACCAATGAATCACCATGAGCGGCTTCCCTCTGTAAGAGAAAAAAAGGCACGTGGTCAGGAGATGCAAACTCACCCAACACGGACCGAGATCAAACTCATGCGGCTCGAGAGAGAGAGAGATAGCAACAACAACAACAGCAACAACACCAACAACTGGCGTGGTTGGCTGTGAGCGCGGTGGCATCGCCGCTACTCAACTGCTCCGCTGCCATCTTCAGTCCCTCCTCGTACGTCTGGACCCACGGGATGGAGTCTCCCCATCCTGCAGCAGCAACAACAACAACAAACACGCGCGCACATCGCGCGGGTCACACCGGCTCAGCATGTGTGGAGCGCAACCCCATTTGGGAGTTTGCAGTGTCTCTCTTTCCCTGTGGTCGCGTGGCTTTTGCTCCGGGTCCTATGGTTTTCCCCTCATTTAGAATCAAAGTGCGGTCAGAGCAGTGGTCCTTTACCTGGGGCGCACACTGCATCCCTGGGGGGTGCGAGATGCCCTTTCTGGGGGCGCGAGACACGGACAGATTATTTTTGACGATAAATAATAGAAAACACTAATTACGGGCATCTAAGTACAACTAGTTTTTTTTTATCTAACCTAAGTATTTGTTATCATTATACATTTTTTGCAAGGCTGCAGTAAAGATTAAGAACCACTGGTTTAGAGTATTTGGCTGCTATACATTTCCAGCGTAAGTCACTATGTTGAGCGATCATCTGTGATAGCCAGGTCGCTTCTGAAAAAGAGCTGTATCGCTAAGTGGGCCTTACCTGGTAAAATAAAATATAAAAAAACATGCGTGTGTCTGTGTGTAGGTGCTCACGCGGGCATCTTGTGGGGAGCGGTGGCGCAGCGGTTATAGCATGCTGCGCTGCGCTGCAAACCCTGCAGAGACCTGAGTTCGACTCCCACTGGCGGTCGCCAGCACCAGGGACGATTATCTGAACCGGTACTGGGTCACCCCTAGGTCGACCAGCCTCAAATGAGTACCTGGTGCGGTGTGTGAACATCGCCACTCGGGAGACAAAGGCGGCCGGGCGTAGTGCTGGCCACCCACTCCCTCGGGTACCATACCGGCCTTCAGAGGTGCTCGCTCACAACACTTACCCCAAGTCTGTCAATGCTACATAGGGGATCTTTGTTATCTGTGCGACAGCGGCGAGTTGAAGAGACGGCCGGGGATGTAGCTCAGTGGTAGAGCGCACGCTTCGCATGTGTGAGGCCCCGGGTTCAATCCCCGGCATCTCCACACTCGGCTGGATTTTTTTTAAATTGAATTCCTCAATGAGAGGTTCGCTCAGTCTCCTCTCCCCTTCTCGTCTGGGTACTCCCTTCCCCCAGCCAGCCATGCTGTCCACTCCCTGCTTCTGTTCAAGTCCAGACTCGAGACGTGTTTGCGTTCCTCTGCCCGTGACCGACTGCCGTTGGGGATTTGTCGGCGAGATTGCGGTTTTGCTGGTGGTGGGATGTTCACGAACCTCCGTCGAGAGACTTGAAGGGGCGCGAGACCCTGTCCGCGGCCTCGTCGGCCCTGCCAAAGTCGCCCCCCTTCCCCACGGAGGCGCCCTTCGCGTCCTTCCTCACGCCGGCCACCTGACGCGCCGCTCGGCCGGAGGCCACGAGAGCCGTGGCGACCAGCGCCGCGAGCAGAAGCCTCGCCGACGTTGTCATGATGCTGCCGTACGGTGGGGTGAAACTCAACAAAGAGGCAAATAAAGATGTGGCTTGAACAAGCGGTGACGGCGAGTGCGTTGTGCCACCCCGGCCGCAACGAAGGCTATTTATGGGCCTCCACGGGGGCCCCGAGCAGCAGACCGCAAGGGGAACGGGGCCAATCAGGCGCTGCCCGGTGTATCAGGGCCCCCTCACGAGGTGGCCGAGGGCCTGGCCGTGTGGACCCAGCTGGCGGATGCGGTGGCTTTAGAGAGGGCTACCCCCCCGGGGTCCCGTGACCTTATCGCGACACTGGCCACGACTACCGACCGCCGGACGCTACCGCTCGCAAGGTCTACCGAGAAAAGCATCAGCAAGGGGGCATCATCCACCACGCCTCGCTTGGAATTTCCAAAGAGAGTTGAGATGTTTAGATGTTATTGTGATCGTGGTCAATGGGACGTGGGTCCAGAGAGGTTAACGTTTTAGCGCAACGCGCGTGTGTAAAATAATTTCGCGTGATTTTCATTCATTTTCTATTTTTTTTGTCCCTCGCAAAAATAAAGAAATAAATTAGAGAGCTCGGATTGATTTGAGTGGCGGCCTCTCGTGCGTGTTTGAGCAGCTGTCCCCGTGCCGGATCTTGGTCGTGCGCCCTCGCACGGACAGAGCGGGACAATCATCTCGGGCGCTACGCTGCTCGCGATGGTGATGAAGACGGTGCTGATGATGGATTGAGGATGATGATGATGATGAAATTATTAATTTCGGAGGGTTTACCCATCCAATGAACGAGTGTGAACTTTTGACACCATAATCGTGATGATGATCGTAACGATCATGATCATGGTTGATGACGCTGAATTAGATTTAATAAATGGGCCGTTCATTGGTAGCAGTGCAGATGAGTCTTGCTCCTCAGTGATGCATTCGTGGATACATAATTGACAACGTTGTCCAGAGTCCAGAGTGCGTTAGGCTACGACGGGGGCTGTCCTGCCAACAGTGGGCAGTGCAGCAGCAGTTGCACCCATTGTTGTACCGTACTACACACTTCTATGCGAGGTGGAGAGTGCTTAAACCACTGTCACCACCAGGGACATCTTTAGTGCGGAGGCCCTCATCCAGCAGTGGAATTGACCAGATGGCCGTACGTGAATGCAGACACATGGACACACGGAGGGCGGGGGGCGGGGGGTGGACGGGGGGGGGTCGCAGGAGGCAGAAGAGGAGGAGGAGACGGGGGTTGAGGCTGAGCTCTGAGCTGGAGCAGGGGAACTTCTCTCTGTTTGTTTACGGTGGGGGGCTCTTCCGGAGTGTGGATCAGCTGATGAATGAGATTGGCTGCGGGCTTCGAGGAGCCGAGAGATAAATTATTACGAGTACCAACGAATAATAAAACTTAAAAACCGGAGCAGAATTAACGGCCGTGTCATATCAGGGTCTGATTCATTGCGCGAGAAAAAAATCCGAACTGGCGTGAAATGGGAGGGGGTGGGGAGCAGGGGGCAGGCGGTGGGGGCAGCTGAGTTGGGACGAGGACTGCTGCCCGCGCTGCCAGCACAAACAGGGGCTCGCTCCGCCACGACACGGGGAGGGGGGGGGGCAGCTGTCTCAGTCTCCTGCCAAGGGCAATAGGAGACACTGGGGCAAGGGGCATTCACTCGCGCAGCCGTCGCCTGGGCACGTGTCATCACCGCGTGCGTCTCCCTGTGTGTGTGCGTGACTCGCGGGATGTGTGTACGCGCTGCATTGGAAGTCGCCGTGTCAGAGCCGATCCTAGGCTTTCCCCTTGGTCGACTCAGCATTAAATGAGTACCTGACCTGGTTGCGGCGTGTAAAAATCAGCGCTGGGGGACGCAAAGGTGGCCGGGCGTGGCATCGGCCGCCTTTTCTGTGCCGTGCAGTCCTTAAGAGGTGCTCGCTAACAGCACTTGACCAACTATTTTAACTATTTTTATTTTACGTGTAAGGTCCACTGAGCTACATAGCTCTTTTTCAAATGATAGCTCAACGAAGTCACTTATCACGGGTAAATATATATATCGACCAAATACTCGAAACGCGTGGTGATGTTGCCTCTTAATGTGGAGGGAAAAACCGGAGGACCCGGAGAAAAAAATCCACGCGACCACGGGGAGAACATCCACACTCGTAAAGATACAACACGCGTCAGGGTCGAGATCGAACCCACGACCACCCGTAGACGAGGCGAGGTAGTTAACATCTCGCCACCGTGGCGCTCCACACCGCCTGCCTATACGGCTGTCGTCGGCGTTATTTGATACGGAAGCTCATACGCGGAGCACGACGAGTTGACGGAATAGATTAATCAAAATCGACCCTCGCGCTCCGATTGAAACATCGATCGCTGCGTGCGCGAGGTCATCAATGCCACTGCTTCACGGGGTTGACACGCGAGCTCGTTCTCGCGCCCTCTCGTGAACACCACTCCCACTTCTGCTGCTGCCCCCCCCCCCCCCACACACACATCCCACCCCGTCCTTGCTTGCAGGCACCCTACGAACCCCGCACAGCTGCAACCGTGGCTCGGGGCCACACAGGAAATTCCTGCAGTAAAGCAGCGCTGAGTTTGTAAGGCGACGGCTGATGGGCGCGCTCTCTCCCGGGTGGGAGGGCCCCGATGTTACCACAGCGGGAGGATAGGGGGAGGAGGAGGAGAGGAGGAGGAGGGGATAAGATAAGGCTGAAGAAAGCCATGCACCCATCAGAATAAGTGGCTCGCCGAACGGGGCACTGCTCAGTGTCGGTGCCGCAGTGTTTGATTTATGACTCATTCGGTACGTGGTGAGACGTGGGGGAGCGGTGGCGCAACGGTTAGCGCACTGCGCTGTGACCTCGGTGACCTGATTACAATGTTCGGACACGGTTAACATCAGTGGCGATTGATGCCTGAACTGGTTCTAGATCCCACGCCCCCGCTATACCTCCCCCACGCGCCCCGATTCGCCAGCGTGGTGAAGTATAGTCACGCAATCCCTGACCGACGGTGAATGGGGAGATCTTCGTGTATATATAGCCGTGCGTGGGAACCTCACATCGATCGGAACCTTTAAATGTGAAGTCAATCCCTCACGTCCGCTCGCTGTTGACGACGACGGCGATGAACGGTCACGAGGCGCGCGAGACACTGCGTCCCACGGCACAATAAACGAGGCTGGCGAGCCGGTCGGTTCAAGAGAAGGGACCTCGGGGTTTTTTTATTTGGTGGTGGGAGGGAGGGGAAGGTTGGAGGTGGAGGAGATTCGACTGCCGCGAGGACAAATCCTCGCGCCCGCGGGAAGCGAGCGTCGTGAATCGCCGGCGCGTTTCTCCGGCTGGCAACCAACAACGCCTCCGTCGCTGTTCTCCATAAACGGGATAAAAAAAAAAGCTTTGTCAATCATGGCTACAAAAAATATAAATTGCACAGAACTGGGCATTGGTAGGCTGCCGTGTGGTGATTTTCCTGGGCAATTTGTAACCTTTCTTGGGGTTTGTCGGTTGCGTGAAGGCACGAGAAATGACGGACACACGCACGGAGACGACGTTTACCGGGCACAGCAACAACTAGTCCATCGGCTCTCTCAATACACTGGGGTCTGCTCTCGCTGCGAGACGACGGTGATGATGATGTGTGTGTCTGTACAGGGCGCTTCAAAACAATGTTAACACTTACATTGGACTAGAATTTTTCATGGAAAAGAACGGATAATACACAGTGGCATGATAACAAATGTACGTTAATAGCTTCAATAAATCAAAGAGTCTCCACTAGTCAACACACGCCTGGAATCTTCTCCTGGTGGTCTCCAGAACCCAGAGGTACATTTATTGTGGTGTTTGTTGCAAATTCTCAGAAGTGTTAAAACTTGTTGAAGCTCCCTGTATAGTTCAGTCTGCTTCCTGAGCGCATCCTACACGTGGTAGTAACCACGGGGGGATGTAGCTCGGTGGTAGGGGACACCCTTCGCATGTGTGGGTCCCCGGGTTCAATCCCTGGCGTCTCCACGGCTCATTTTATTTTTAATTGAAGCCCCCCATTTGGGAGGTTGCTCCTTTCCAATCCCCTGTAGTCTGGGAACTCCCTTGGCCTCCCAGCCATCCATGTTTGTCAACTCCCTGTCTCCGCTCAAGTCCAGGCTCAAGACGAGCTTGATTCTTCTGCCTTTGTGGATTTGTCGGTGAGATGGCAGCTGCTGGCTCGGTTGTGCACGAACCTCCCTCGAGAAACTTGAAGTGGGGCGGGGATGGGGGGACTGCTGATTATTTTCTTCCGTTCCTATATCCGCGTGATATCCTATATCCGCGTGATATCCTCGTCCCCAAGGCAGTCCCTGTAGTTGTCGCTGTGGTGATTTATTTTGGTTTCGAAAAAAAAAAACCCCAAAAAGTCGCTCTATCGACAAAATCTACCGAGTTGGCAACATTGTCTGCGAGATTCGAGTCCACCCGTCTCTTCGGACAATTTGGAGTTCCCTTCCTTGCTTGATTTGGAAAAGAGAACGAATTTCTGAGATTGAGCCCGTGGGAGCGAGGCGCGAGTCCTGATCATGCCATCGGGGAGCAGGAGGATGAGGAGGAGGATGAGGAGGAAGACCCGTTTATGCTTCCTCGCTTTGCAGACGTCCTGGAATTATTTTCTCAACTGTCATGACTAAATCGACGAGCGCGTCGGCAAGAACGAATCCAATTTGATAGCCTGACTCTGCCGATGAAACCCAGGGGGGTCTAAACCGGTCCAAAGTTCGCTTGCACAAACGAATGCTGCTGGATAAAATTGCTTGAAAAGCCAATAGGCCCGATTGACTGAACGACATTGGGGTTTATAGGCGGAGACACACTGGAGTTGTGGTCATGGTTGACATTTGTTAGGCCCTGCGTGATTTTTGACAAACTCGACCACTGCACGTGGAAGAACGGCGCTGCGAGGGATAGAGAGCGCACTGCGACGTGAACCCGGACCAACTGAGTTCGACTCCTGAACACGGTTAACATGACTCGTGAATGATACTGAAATTTTCCTGCCCACTGTCATTCTCCCACGACCCCCCCCCTTCCCCCCGAGGCTCCCTCCCGCACCGCTTACCGCCTTCACCAACACGCACCAACCC